AAGCAGATACTATCCAGAAGTTAGTCAGAAAACAAAGACGTAAATTCACTTACAGATTAATATAATCTCAGGTCAACCAGAAATCAAGAAATGGGTAACTCTAACCTATTTTGAAAAAGGAACAGAGATAATTACGGGTTTCTTCAGAAAAAAACAATGTGGAAGTGGCATTCAGATCACATGCCAGGTTATCTGATTTCCTTTTCAATGCCAAAGATAAGGTGGACAAGTTGGAGAAATCTGGAGTTTATAAGCTTAAGTGTCCGGAGTGTTTATGTGGGACAATGTGGTCGAAATTCCCAAAAACGGTATGCTGAACATGAAAGGTCCTTCAGACTAGAAAAAAATTATTCGACGTTTTCAAACTATTCCTTGGCATGCAACTACAAGTTCCCGAATCTAAACAATACGGAAAGTTTGCACTAGGCAAGGAAGGGTTACTAACTCAATTATTTAGAATCCTTGGAGATTCACAAGCATAAACGTTGCGGGTGCAACCTGTTAAATTATCAAATCGATTTAGTTTACTCACCGGTCTTTAAATTGGCACATCTGCATTGTAAATTGTAAATACAGTACCTGTATTAATACCTATAGGGGTGGTATATAAGGGCTAATGTAATAAGTATAAGTTTGAAAATGTCCTTATAGGACGAAACTGCACTAACGTTAGTTACAAATAAAAGCGGTAAAAAACATAAAAAGTTTCAATTCTCTTTTCTTCATTATGGTTTCCTACCACGTAGTAACGTGTTTTCAAAAGAAACAATCTCATACGGAGGTACATTCTTTAAGTGAATAGTTGGAGAAAATGCGCATCAGTTATCTTTCTTTTCACACTCTTACATAGGCAATATAATCGATTGTGCTATTAGCACATACATATTTTCGTATTCTACAAACTTTTGTTTGAAACAATTCACCTAGTTTTCAACAAAATAAATCTCTCAGTATACTATTAATTTCAAAGAATTACGTTATGTTAGCCGTAGTTAATTGCTGTGCTTCAAAACAAATTGTAAATTTGGCTACTTTTTGTTTATTTATGTGCCGTTTTCAAAATAGTAATATATTATTTCGTATATATTCAATTTTTCTCAACAATTTTAGATAAAAAAGTGTTCTTTATGACTGAAACCTAAAATGCAACAATCGGTTATCACATCCTTCAAAAATATGAATTTTAAACTTTATTTTTGAAAATATTCAAAATCGTTATTGAAAAAAGTTTATCAAAATGAAAACCATGCTTAAATATACAATTGCATTTATTTACACTAAAAAACAGGTTTTGTTATATTTTTCGGAAATTTCTACTTTGAATTGAATTCAAATCATTAATTTCAATAATGAACATTTGTCTGTTGAGATTAAATAATATCCTTTAAATATTTTACTTGTACGATAATTAGAAGGCTATTTACGTCCTTATTTCGAGATATGGAAAAAAGTGTTGCAAATTAATGCAATTACATATTTGAGAGAATTTTTTTATTCTGATCAACTTTTTGTTTTACTAATATTTTATATTGTGAAAAATAAAGGTACTTCACTCTTGAACAATTTTTTTTAACAAACCTCATAAACGGCTGAAAGAATTCATCAATAGATAGTTAATTCTCAAGTTTAAATCTTTACAAAACTTTTAAAGAAGATTATTTTTTTTCTTATCTGTACTCAAAAAGTGAGGTGGATCTTTCTTCAAGGTTTTTTTTTATTCTTTACTATCAATCTTGTACGATCTTGAGAGAGCTTCGTGCTAACAACGACGATGGCGTTTTCTAAGTTGAGACCATTTGACCTGGTTCAAATAGTCATTTAAGGAAGCTGCGAACATACTGAAGAACCCATTTCGTTAACCCAACATGAATACCCGTACTATGAGAAAATCTCCAGTTGAATGCGTTAACAGGCTGTATAAATCCTAAATTGGGTAATACGAAACCAAATTATTTATTAAATGAACTTGATACTTTCATTCTAAGTAAGAAACTATCAACAATAATGGAGTTCAAACGCTTGATCTACAGGTAGTGCAGGCTCTTCACGACTATCAACACGTAATTTCTATAACAACAAAAGCGAGAGACTTCAGATTTGAACTAAATTATGTGATAAATATCAATACATGGTTACATATGAAGCTGTTGTTGAGAATACTATTCCTGGAGCTGACGAATTTTCACAACGATGAAACCACTCACTTTGCAGAGGAATATACAGAATCAAAAGCAATACTCCAAATGTGGCGGCAAAACCAACTTGTAAGTACATCATATAAGTACAAACAACAGTTTCGATTGGCCCGAGCCACAACAGATGTGCAAATAAAGCTGAGTTGTCAAACCTGTTGACATCGTTTGACAACATATTCACAACTTGGCCAGCAGTGGTGTTCCCCAAAGAAGTTTTACTGAGTTTCAACGACTTCCTGTATATTAGCGAACAACAAGCCACCCTGATCTTCATCCCTAAGTGAAAAATGCCCTGAGCATAAGGATGAGTAATTAAGACGTAAAGTAAAGAGCAAAGGATAACTCCGGTAGCAGAAAAGTAGGCTTCTTCTTGTGAAATGTTCGTTTGTCCTGGAGCATAGTATTTCACTAACTTTTCTAACATAGAGGGCTGAAGGATTCTGAAAAATGTTGCAAATTATTACTCGAATTAGAAGATGATGTTAAAATTTCTACTTCTATGTCTAAACATGCTTTTGCTAATTAGTAGTAACAACGAAAGATAAAATGCTGTAGAATAACTCTGATGAAAATCAGCGACATTAGACTAAGCCAGTTTGCATCATTAGCATATGTGGTTACTCCTGATGGATAGTCTGCTTGATTCCTTTGACAGAAGAGAAGTAGATCTGTAATCTAATGCAGATGATATTGTCATCTTAGCAAGAAATACGTCGTAAAGCGTAGTTTGTAACATCCTGGACGTTACACATAGAAGATGCCAGAGGGAGCAGATGTCTTTAAACCCCAGGAAAACTGTAATGGTCGAGGAACCTGGATGATTTGACTCCCTTCTCCTGAAATAGTGATGCGATTCCATTTCTAAGCGGAGGTGAAATATCAAGGTAATAGGTACACTTCTTGATAATAAAAATTACCAGAAATGCCCTTAATTGGATAGTCGCTATGGACATGTCGAAGGATTTGTGTTAAATATTGGGCCTCAGTTCCCAAACAAACCATTGGATATTTGTGATGTTGGTCAATAGCTTCACAGCAAACGTCTCAGGCGGAGCTCTCTGGCATGCAGTTATCCCTGGTGCTATCAGCACCACACTGTGAGCGGCCGTGGACATTCTTCTAGACCTACCCCCTCTGCACATCTTCCTAGAACGAGAAGCTAGATGGACTTCATACACAAAAGTGCATATTGCCAATTGCATAAAACAGGGTAACACTGAAAGTCTCAGTATTCTGGGAATGACCTCCAACTTAATGCCTCCAACTACCAACTATGAACTGCCTTTTACACTCCTGTTTCGGACCGGAGAAGATTGAATCCTACGGAGGAGAAAATATCAAGAGCAGATAGATGTTGGTTCATAGACTGATCAAAAACACTTACAGATTCTAGTGCAGGTGTTTACAAACGCAGTCCCAAGACAGACATATTACCTGTCTATGGAAATATATGCGACAGTATTTCAAGCGGAAATTTACGCTACTGATTTGTGTGTGGATGGATTTGCGGAATCCAACCTAATCATAAAATACGAATCACAATGTTGTCACATTGTGGCACATGAAAAAATCTTCAGTCACGTTGAAATTTGCTTTAGATCCTCAAGCGGGTATAGTGTACTGTACGCAAAACGTATGTCCCAATTCACTTGTCAAGCGTAGGTTGCCTGGTTGTTAATTTCCACAGACTACAGTAGAGGTGATTATATGTTTCCTATTTGGGGTCAACTTTCTCTACAGATACTATCACGGTCTCCTGCACGAAAGTAGGCTAATTTCGATCAATGTAATTTTCTGAACAAATCAAAGTTGGACATTTTCAATCATCTTTTCGAATACTTACAAACAAATGTTATTTTATGTTTGTCTCATGTGGTATGAAAAGTAATAACATATTTGAAACCTAACAGTAGAGCAATGAATAAAGTAGAATGTAATTTAAGGAAACGACTGAGTCGTCTCCTCAAGAGCGGGGTAGCTTATAAAATCGTCTTGTACCAAATTCTTGAGCGGCGTACGCAGAATCTGTCCCAGGTGGAGGAACAAACCCTCCTTGAGCAGGTTAGCAAACGTTTGTGCTCAAGTGATGATTCACCAAAACCAGAGGCGAAAAAGCCCTGCACGGTTGAATCTAAGGCATCGTCAGGTGTAGCTGACGTGCAAAAACCCTCATATGGAAAGGTTGTCGCGGGTATCAAGGTGGGAATCTTGCACCTTGACTATCCGACTACCTCATTAACGGGCGAATAGAACGACTCACTTTGGACCTAACCTAAACTAACTCAGATGAGCCGGTAAAAAATATTGAAGTGGATATGAGTCGATAACTTAGTTTGAAACGATTTTTAATATTTCTATTTTTGCGTAATCTCAATATTTTATCCTCTGTTCATGACAATTGCGTCCGCATTATTTTTTATCATTTCTCTATTCTAAGGGTTTCAAATCTGTTCAAACGATTGAAGTTGGAATTCGTAACACTGAACGTGAATTGAAGACAGGGGTATCATGTTCGCTTCATCGAAATTTTGTGTTTCTAACAAAATACTTTTAATGCCATCCAGAGTAGTTGTATTAAACATGTCAGTATACATTTTTTAACTAACTTCATCTCTTCTGAATGATAATTGAAAACGAGTCTAATCTATTAACTATTAGTTATTATTGAGCTAACCAGAGGGAGCTAATTGAGTAGGTATATATCTAGGGGTGATAGCGAAAAAAAGGCAAAAAAATAAAATCCCAAGCAAAATGAAGGTGAATACTGAAAAGTCTACTTCTAAACTACACCAGATTAATAGTTACGTTTCTTTTTGAACAAAAGCTTCAACAGTAGAACCATTATGTTTTAAAGCACCGAAGGACCCTTCCTGGGTACTTGCGCTTCTTTTCATATCAAAATATCTCACTAAATTTCCCAAAAATATAGGCTGGAATAATCTGTAAAAAGAGTAAAATGGTTGAAAGACCAATTTGATTATATAATAGTAAAATATTCATTGGAAAATATCGTATTGAAAAAACATTAGAAAATTTCGTTTGTTATGGTATATCGCCAAATTATGAATTGAATTTGTCTAGAAATTCATTTAAACTTGGTAAATCTCGATATCATTTATGAATATCCTTTCAGAATTATCACAATTACCAGCCATTGGACATAAACTGAAACTATGTTCAATTAAATATTATTTCGCTTAGTATATCATTGAAAATGTATTTTCAGTTACACTTTACGTATCTCTTGAAAAGTCTTCTCATGGGTACCCATTTTTATATTTTTAAATTTGCTGTAAATTTCATAACTTGTCCAAAAAAAACTCTTCGATTTCCAACAAATTGTAAATTTGTTTTATTATGGAGGGAACATTGAACTACTCATCATACCGGATATAAACCGATTCAGACTTTTTGGTCTCTTCAGGTATCAAGTGAAATTTCCGGCTTATATGGTATACTCTGCTTCCTAATAGTAAAGAGTAATGAAGGCTTATTTGTGATTTCTCCATGATTTACACAGCTGGTATAGCTGGTTCAGCATACTTAACCGGGTGTACCCTATTTTTGTACCACGAAAAAAAGATGTTATTATCGTTCGGGTCGTTTTATTACTTGCAGTGGCGTGTGTTTGGCTATTTTATCAAAAATAAAACTAATAACTATGTTATTTATATACATTAACTATTTTTCTATTCGAAATATTTACATGATGATAAATAGGAACAATCATTTACGACGATATTAGGTACAAGCAAAAATTATGGTTTGTTCTCCTTATCAGATGAATCCGTTGAATCTTTTTCCAATGTTATGATCTAACGTTATTTTCTCAATTGAATGGTCGAATTTTCTCATGTCTCTTTCCTTTGAAACATGTTCAATACATTTTCGAGATTTTTCTGAAATCGACATTTTTAAGGACTCCATAAAGAGTATTTTGACATATTTCATTTTGAATGACGTGTTTCTTTTGGCAATGACTGTTTTACCAACATTTTGATATCATGAGCACTCAAATTAATTTGTGAAAAATCATGAATATTGTGATTTTTATTGGAATAACAACACATGCCTTTTCATTAATCTGACTATGATACTATAAAAACTAACAAAATTTCACATTGAGACGAGAAGAGACAAAAAAGTTATGACCGCGTGCCAGAATCAGTTTACACCCAGTATATTATATAATTATCAATCAATGATAAATTTAATTGGAATTTAACTTAGAAATTGGTTTTGCTTGAAAATGAGCAAGACTGAGCAAATACTGAATTAAATGATTTTTATAGCAATTTTCAAATATGTTTCGAAAAAGGCTTTCAGTTTTTAACTTCAGATACTTCTCCAACAAAGTTTTTTTTCATAATGTGTACTCACAGTACGGAACATAATTTAAATGATAAATTTTTATTGATATTTGTAGAAAAAATCAATTACTAACTTGTAGCATTTTGGAAATGTCCTCTGACTTTATGCCTCCGACTATCAACCACGAACTGCCTTATAAAGTACTCTTCCCGAATAGAGAGAACTGGATCCTCCAGGAGAAGGACATATTAAGAGCAGATATTTGTTGGTTCACAGATGGATCAAAAACAGCTTGCCGGTTATGGTGTAGATGTTTTCAGTCGCAGACCCAGGACAGAGATATCAACCTGCCTAGGAACCTATGCGACTGTATTTCAAGCGGAAATTTACGCTATTCAATTGTGTGCGGAGAGATTGGAAGAATCCAACCTCATACACAAGTCGATGAAAATATTTTCGGACAGTCAAGTGGCGTTGGAAGCACTTGGCTCCTACTGAGCAACGTCTAAATTGGTAGCAAATTGCCAAAAACGACTCTCCTCGATAGGAGGAGTCTGGATTCCTGGTCATACTGGCCTGGAAGGCAATGAAGTTGCTGGCTCCCTTGCAAAGGAGGGTGCTGCAAGCAGCTTCATCGGACCAGAACCTGTCATTTGCAGAGCTTCAGGCTTTGCCAAACAAACATTGAACACCTGGTTGGCAAGAATATCTATGGAATTCTGGCAGAATCTTCTAGGATTGGCTCACTCCAAGGCGTTTATTCACCCTTCGAAGCTTGATACCAAACAGTTGTTGGACTACAGTAGGGATGAACTTCGATGTCTAACAGGCCTTCTTACAGGTCTTTGTCATTTGAATAATCATATGCAGAGACTGTCGGAAGACAGTGTGTGTCGCTTCTGTTTCAAAAATGATGAAACAGCACAGCACATATTTTGTGCCTGTCCCGCTGGGGACCGAATCAGGTTTTTAGAGTTCGGCAGAGCCGTACTTGTACCATCTGACCTGAAAGACCCCTCACCATACAAATTAATCGGCTTCGTTAAGAAGCTGAGTTTATTTGGTCGAGTGTGTGTAAGCCACAATAAACCCTTGCGGGTTGCGGTAGAGAGTCGAATAGACTTACTCACTTTGTACCTAACCTAACATTGCATTTATGAATTTTTTGATTTTGAAATATAATAGAAATAATAAAAATAATGTTCATACTTGGCTGTGATAAAAAGATTGAATTTTGAAAAAATTATCTTTTTGTATTTTCGAAACTGTTAAGTATCAGATATAAGTATAGATTGAAAAATATTCAGATTTATTTCTGCCAGTGGCAGTTTATTACACTTGCAAAATGTATATTTATTTTTTTCTCCTAAAAACTGGTTTTTGAAGAATAAACCATAAAATGTTTTTCCCTAAATTTGTTTACTATGAAAATTATTAAATTAATTATTTTTCATCATTCTCACAAAAATATTTTATAGTTGAAATTTACCTTTAAAAAAATTGAAACTAACCACAGCAAAAGGTTTAGTGAAGAAAAAATTGAAGTGAATATGAATCTAATATTCAGGTAATATAAATATAGTGTGGGAAAAATAAGTTTATTCTTTTATAAAATGAGGTAGTTTGTCATTAGAAACTTTACCATAAAAAGACTGAAAACAGGCCAATAATATTATTTTGATCACAAACAAATTAATTCATAGTGCCTTTAGAGAATTGATGGAGAGGTATAAATTTAAAAAAATCGAAGTTGACATTTCTTTTCATTCATTTTCCAAACAAAAATTATATCTCATATTAGAGTACTGAATATTTTAAAGAGTTGAAAACTGAAATAATCGTTAAATTGTAATGATATCAGGTTCAGTAGATATCGTGAAAATTTTCCACAATTCACAAACTGTATATTAACTGAATTAATTTTAACCCTATATATACTGACCTGATTAGTTCACTTAAGGCTAGGACGATTCCATAAAATAAAAACTCTAATCCAAATACTTTTATTAACACCCTTTGCAAAGAAGGTTTCTTTTTCTTTTTGGCAGCGCGTTCCTCTTCAGCTTTCCAGTACATTTCCATTTTGTTTCCTAAAATACTGGATTTGTGTTCTGTTAGAGTTTCAGTAAGGTCCGCTTCTTCTAAGTCACGCTTGAATCCCTGAATGAAAGTGGGGATGGTGTACCTGAAACAAGATAAAAAACGTGATGATTTCGTTTCAAGAATTCACAAAAAACCCTGAAAAGTATAAGAACATTGGCTTCAACGGCGAAGTCACGATTAAAGAGAACAAAATCCGGGCTGGTAAGCCGTAGTCGAATGGAATCTAAAGTATAGTCGAAGTAAACGATATTGTGCACATGGAAATGAACCGGCTGTGAACTAGTCCACGTGGACTGTAGAATTGGCGGTTCATAATGGATAATTTTTACTAGCCGTGTTTTATGATTGGCTGAAGAGTCATAAAATTAAATTTGAAGTCATGTTACGGTGACGAATAGAAATCGAGGAATGCGGGGATGGTTATCGCCGTCGTGTCATCAATATTCAGTTCAGGACCTGATAGCGATTTGAGTGTTGAAATTCTATATTGGTACAGTTATAATTACTTAAAATTTTTGTTATCTATATAAAATGTGGTTTTTTTGGACAAATACTGATAGTAATAACGAGTGTGATAACAACGCAGAGTTTTTCCAGTGTAATAATTCCAATAGCGATGGTGAACAATGCGAAAAAGAGATACCAGTATTTATTTGAATATTGAAACACAGAGAGTATGTTTCAATGTATATAAGAATCTACATCTCAAGTTTGGTTTCGAGGGAAACAAACCATATGAACGCAAGACGCGATGTGATACAGGATTACCAAAACCTTTAGATGTTCATCTGATGAAATCATTAAAAAAAACAATATACGACTGTTACAAAAGCAATGAGATTCCTACAACTGAAATTATAAGGAAGAAATTGAATACTTCTGGTCATAACGTGAGCTGCTGTGACAAAACTCTTCAGAATTGGATAAAGAAACTAGAATTTAGATTTGAAATAATAAACAAACGTCAAGCAGTTATGGAAAGCAGAAGAATAGTGGAATTGCGTAACAAATACTTAGAAGAAATGACTAAATATAGACTAGAATCGACGTCAAGTTATCATCCACAAACATAAGACCGCAGTATTCAAGCAAAATTTCTGTTACAATGCTGTTCTGTTCTGTTGCAATAGATTTCCATAAATTTAACTCTAAAAAAACTAATTTATTCTTCTCAACCAATCGTAGATCCTGTTTTGATGACTTGGCATTTTCTGTTGTTCATGATTCTATTTTATTCATAAATAGTGTTTCTTTTTTTATTGATATATCATTGATTTATGATTATGATTTCAGCTGTAGGAATCTCATTGCTTTTGTAACAGCCGTATATTGTTTTTTTCAATGATTGTATTAGATGAATAACTTCTAATGGTTTTAGTAATCCTGTATCACATCGCGTCTTGCGTTCATAAGGTTTATTTTTGACTATTTTACGTACAGTTGAGAAAGGAATTTCGGTCAAATCTGATGTTGCTTGTAACAGTTTGTTTCCCTCGAAACCAAACTTGAGATGTAGATTCTTATATACATTGAAACATACTCTCTGTTGCAATATTCAAATGCATCCGAATTATCACAATCATTATTACTATTAGTACTTGTCCAAGGACTCCACATTTTAAACAGATATCAAAAATTTCAAGTAATTATAACTGTACCAATATCGAATTCCAACACTCAAATTGCGATCAGTTCCTGTACTAAACACGACGGCGATAACCATCCCCGCATATTTCTATTTCCATTCGTCACCGTAACATGACTTCAAATTTAATTTTATTATTTTAGTCAGCGAATCATGAAATTCGGTAAGTAAAAATTATCCAATACGAACTGAAAATTCTACAGTCCACGTGGACTAGTTCGCAATCGGTTCATTTCTTTGTATTGGTTCTTTGGCCTTCGAGAGTGCCGCACAATATCGTTTACTCCGACTATACTAAATTTGACCCAAACAAACAGGGCAAGCTAAATAAAACCGTTTGAAAAATATATGCGTATAAGCGAAGTCAGGTCGGGTTGCTCGTCTAAAAAATTTAAATAAATTCGTATCGAATTTTTGTGAAGAGGGAAAAGGTCAATTCAGAAACGGTCACACCAGCTGACTCAAATCAAATAAGGCCTTGGATAATAATCGAACAGTACTGTAATTAAATTTTGCTGTCAGGCACGTTTAGATAATATTTCATAAACGAAATTAAAAGTGTATCGAGAAAATTAACACAAAGATCATTGGAATGGTAAATAATGTTAATATTTTATATGGATAAAACAATAACGCTATTCCTTGTAGATACTAACAATCGAAACGTCGTGAAGTAACTTGGCTTGAAATCTCTTCATTTTAATTTTTTTATTTAGTTCAATTGTTCAATTTTCAATTTTTTGCTTGTATTTTGTTTCCCTGTAATTTCATTTCAGGGTTTTTCTGCCTGAAATGATTGTGATTTTCAGCTATCCATTTTTAATTTTCAATATTATTGGTTTTTTAAGGAATTTCAAATCATTTTATATCATATTAGACAATGGAAGTCCGAACTAATGAAATTCACCTTGAAACTTTGTCAACCACCTTCAAACAAAATAATGAATGTTCTGAAAGGAAAGGGAAGGCTCTTTCAGAGTCAATTAATATAGATCAACCAATATATAAAATTCCACTGTTGGACGATAAATACCAATCCATCATTCCCTTTTCTAGCTAGGATGATCGATACCTACAGCTAATAAACGTTATATCTGGTAATTCTATCCTAATAAGTAATCCATAATCACCCACACCTCAGTAGCTAGGATCTGACGTCTTCGTATACACGGTGGCCACTTTTGGAAATATTTTTTATCCAAATATACGTTTTCTTCAATTTTGACGTATCGCATTTCCATTTCAACTTTTCGTATTCTTTGGGCAACCAATAGGTTTTTCTCAAAAGCGAACCTTCATTTCAACTGAATTCATTGTTACATTCACGTTAAAAAAGTCTCCACAATGTATATCACTCTTCAATATGATTTCTGATCAAAGTGTTGGTCTGGAAATCAGACTTTGTAAATTCTCAGCTCGTACCAGTACCACAAGTTAATTCGTGAATGACAACCGCTTCAGGGAAAGAACCCTTTCGAAACTAATTTCGAAAAAATGACGCCATTTCTTCAAATCCATTTCTTTTTTGAATAAGGATCTAGAAATAAGATGAATGCTTTTCATACAACAAAGCTGCCACATAGAAAATGTATCTCCCTGGCTTGCTATAAAAGCATAATAGTCTAAGTAAATTAATGAAAAACAATAAAGACAATTCTTCGGTGTCGGATAGACCAGGAGTATATAAGATAACCTGCGGCTATTGCCCAAAACTGTATGTTGGCCAAACAGGGAGAATTTTTTCCCAAAGAATTGAAGAGTATAAAAGTAGTTTTGTTAATAGAAAGACCAAATCCACATTTGCAAACCACCTTTAAGCAGGACATTAGTTCAATCAAGAATACGACGTGTTACATTTAGAAGAGAAAAGTTTGAAATTCAATCTTCTAGAATGTTAAGAAATCAATATATTCAAGAATTCGGTTAATTTACTGAACGATCAATTAGAATTGAATAATTCTGGTTCTAAATATTTTTTCAAATGTGGAAACTGGTACAGAAGCACAGGTAATTCAATTCATTATAAACACAGGTACACATGAAACATTAAATGATCAGGTAAAACTCAGGTACTTGAATTATAGGTACTTCAAATTGTAAAATCAGGCATATAAAACAATGAATACCTATGTAAAATATAGTTAGTGAAGACACGCCTGAAGAAGCCATTGTATGGCGAAACACGTGTTGCGTTTATGTAAAACTGTTTAGTGAAAATCTCACAATAAAGTGTTTTTTGAATATGTTACTTGTATACATTGCATTGTTGAGTAGTGTAGACTATTCATGAAGAATATGGACATCCTGTATATCAGTTATTTGAATTTTATTTTCTCAACCTTCACGGTTTACAATTGTTTCAAATACAGATTCATCTGTTTATCATAATGAGCATAAACATTCTTGACACTACTTTTACACATTGAATGTAAATTGGTACCCACATGTTTCTTGATACACTTATGCAAATGGATATTTATGATGAGTGATGATTTCCAACATACTTTTGAAGTTTTTAAATGTATTCTCTTGAATAACCTCCAAATGACAGATTTCAACCTATGCCGTACAGGAATAGTAGAAGTTATATATTTCTAAACGTAATTTCAACTTTATTCCAAATTTAAATTATTTTTAATGTCATTAGCGAATAATAATGAAAACATATTGAAAACTTGGTGAATCTTGAATACAAAGTTCACAACGACATTCATAAGTTTTTGCTTCTTTGAACGTTTGTTAGCTCTTCAGATATAGTTGGATGTAATAGACCAACTTACTCATTTTCTTGGTAAGTTTTCTCTTCTTACAGAATTTGCTTATACGAACTCAGTATCTGTAATTCCTCTTTCTCTCTTGGATGAAAGATAAAAATTGGTGCTTCCCAGGACTCCAACCAACATGGATGCTGTTCTGGGTTTACAAACATTCGAAGAGAACTTTTGTCCTCAAGCTCATCCCTTGGTCTCTATCTAGATCTTTGCAAGGTTGGTCTTTATTGTATCATCCGAGATTACATGACCAAAAAAAATTATTTGCTTTTAGTTAATAGAACACAGGGTAGTCGTTTCGAACTCGAACTATTCAATACACTCCGAATGGAAGTACTTTGAACTGCTACAGTCTATTTCTAGAAGAAAATGTGTTTTCCACATAGTCGGGTGGAAATATCAATGGCAAGATTTGTTGGTATTCTTCAGTTTCTACTATTATTATGCTCAACTCTAAATCTTCCTTCTAGTCTGGCCATCATTGCATTCACAGAGATTTTGGAAATAAATACGGATGAACTGGAATGCTAAGCAGAACATTGAATAATCATATCGAAAGTAATGAAATTGTTTTGAACTTGGTTAATGATATATTAGTACTGTCAGGGCCGTACTTGCCCATTGGAATCTTTTGAAACAATAATTTAGATGAAAATAGGAACAGCG